AAAATAATGAGAATAAATTCATAAGTAAACAGTGATGACATGAGAGGATAGGAGTCAGTCAAGAAAATTCCTATTAAAAAATAATGATAAAAAACAAAATTCCTACTAAATAGTTTAGACCTCATGGTCCCTTATTTTCCTTCCTTCCTTCCTTCCTGTCCTCTTTCCCTTCCTCCCTCCTTCCCTCCCTCCCTTCCTACCTTCCTGCTGGAGATTATACCCAGGGTCTTGTGTATGCTAAGCATGTACTTACTCAACAGCTTCAGCCCTAATTTTGTTTTTAAATATTGGTTGAAATTCATTGGTTTCATGAGCCACTGCTGGGCTGTGATTTGAGGTTTAAAAAATAATATTCTCTAGCAAGATCTTCAGCATGTACAGGACTAAGAAACTGTAGGCCAGTTAACTAATAAATTAGGACTAGCTATTACTCTAGGAACACACACTAAAGTATTATTAGTCACTCAATCAAGCCTGACTCTGCTGAGTCAGAGAGAGATCAGACTTAGGAAAGCTACTTAACAAAACCTGGAATATCAGAGATCAGACTTAGGACTAAGTATGCAATAAACCTGAAATAACATATGGAAATATAATTGACATTTACCTAAAATAGCTATGCATAAAACCTTTCATCTGAAACTATGCACTTTATTCTTTTACTCATCACCTAGGCAGCCCTTAATATTGTTTATTATCAGATTTTCTAGCCCACAGCTTTTTATAAATAGCAAACCAGAAGAAGAATGATGCTGTTAAAGAAGAATGGCTGTTTAAGTTTGGCACAGCGATGAGAAGAAAAGGGACTGTTTGGCAAAGGAATATAGGGAAAACTAAAAGCATAGGATTGGATAGTTGAATAGTATAATTCTGACCACCAACAGATTCTCAGCAGTATCAAAGCTGTCATTTAGTTACTGAAGAGTGTGATCATCAATTGATAATCTTGAATGATAAAATATTAAATTTGGTATCATCTATTTAATGAAATTGAAATATTTAGTTATTTTGTACATTTTAAAAATAAGTCATTTTTGCCATTTAAAAGGCGAGATATCAGCTCTCTTTAAAAACCATATTTTTGAGTTGGGTATGTTGGCACATGTCTGTAATCCCATCACTCCCAGGCTGAGGCAGGAGTATTTGAGCCCAGACTGGGTAATTCAGTGACTTAAAAGGACCCTATCTCAAAATAAAAAATAAAAAAGATTGGGGATGTAGCTCAATGTAGAATCCCTGGGTTCAATCCCTAGTACTGCAGACAAAACACTATTTCTGAAATGCTTTTACACTTTAGTAGCTCCAAATAAATTTACTTATTTATACATTATTTACATATTCATTTATTGAATGTGTTTGAAGTAAGCTTATATGTTAGTGTCATAATTTTAGTTACTGCCTGCCACTGGTCTTATTTATATAATTAGAGATGTTATCCGTTGAAACAGAGAGTTTACTCACAAGAAAGTTAAAAGCTACCACCTTATTTAGAAGAGAAAATGTCACAGAAAAAAAATATGTACTACTTTGATGTATCACTTTGTGAAGACTTACAAATATTGTTTTCATATACTAATGTGTATGGCCTGATGTGTAAGGACTAAAGCCTTTAATTAAATAAGATACCTACAAGTCCTTACGTATTAAGTGTATACATTTGATATTCATTAGGTACTAACTTTTCATTGCTTTTGGTGTTAGTGTATTTTTGTTTCCCTAATAAGAAAGAATGATTAGCAATTCCCAAATCAACAAATGGTTCTGAATTGAGGATATTGAGACTTTGAATGTAATATTTAAAACATTGTTTCAGGATTAAGAAAACAGGCTCACCAAAATAGTTGTAGCATCTGTGTAAATCAATATAACATTTCAAAAGTCAGTTTAACAATACAGTATATGCTACATTTTAAAATATATGTATCCTGTGATTTGGTAAATATGCTTCTAGAAGCTATATAAGGAAATAAGTAGAATAGACAATACAGATATAAATGGGCGCTATAGACACTTTTTAAAGCAGTGCAGAGTTTGAAATAAAATAAATGCCTTTAAGTAAATTATGGTACAACCATACTTTGCCACAATAATATCTATGGAGGTAGTATCACAAGAGGTCTTTGTTTTTTTTCTATATTGTTTGAATTAGTTTTTATAATATTTATATATTTGCAAAGGAAAAGTATAATAGTCATAAAATATTTGAGTTGATAAAAAATTACACAGTTTTATGCCTTGAATATAGTTATCTACATAGCAACCCTGAACCCGAAACCCTGTTGAAAAAACTGTATGAATTTTTAGATATGAATATGTACTGATGATAATCATATAATTTTAAAGTGAGAAGAATCTTTTTCTTTTTTGTCAGTACTGGGAATTGAACCCAAGTCCTCACTTATGCTAGGCATGTACTGTGTACCACTGAACTAAATCCCAGCCTCCAAAGCATCTTATTTTAATAAATGCTGGTACTGGTAATAGTTTTTTTAGTCATTTTCACTATTTCAGACTAACCAATATTTAATTTCTAATTATCTTTAACATAATCTTCAATTATGAAATATGCATTGGTACTGTTTCATGAAACAAATAGCATCTAACATCTAAATCACTTAATTTTAACTTAAAAGATTTTCTAATTGCCTTTGTATAGATATTCTTCCTTAAGAAAGGAAATTAACTGAAGGTGTAATATAAATGAAGTCACAATTTCAGTATACAGGGTGGTAATTATGGACATTTTCATTTTTCTTCCCCTATCTCCATCAATAAACAAAACCCTAGAAAATTGAATCAAAACAATAAATGTTGATTTTTAATTTTAAAAATATTTCATTTTTCATATGTATATACGTATGTCTTTTAAATTTAGGATATAGATTTTTTGTAAAGAATAAACTTTTCTAATATAAAAGTGAAAATATACTATTGTCCTACTTGAGAATATATTTTCATTCATTATTTTTTAGACATTTTCTTCTTGTAGATGGTGGTGGTATCTATTTATATTCTTATGAAGGGCGCTTCATTTCTTCTCCAAAATTTCCTGGAATGAGAACAGATATTTTGAATGCACAGACTGTGTCTCTAAGTAATGATACTATAGCAATAAAAGACAAAGCTGATGAGAAAAGTAAGTACATTTTTATAATTTTTCACTCAGTTTGTTAGTTAATGCTTTCATAAGCTTTCATTTTCTTATCTATTAATATGTTAACTTTATATGAAGAATTATGAGCTTCCTAATGTCTTCTAAACATGAATTAAATAAGAATTAAATTTGTGATACTGTGTCCAATTAATTGAATTTCAAATAGGTATCATCACAACACCTAAGATCAGTGGTCAGAAATAAATCTTATTCAGAAGCTATTGGTAGAGAGATTTAATTCAATATTGTGGTCCTAAAAATGTATATTAACTTTTATTCTTTTTAATATTCATGTGGTAACATAGTAAATATTATACTGCATTGTATTTTGTTTATGTATATATTTTAATTAAGTTCATGATGTAGAGGAAAGTTATGAATAACTTAAATTTTCTATTAAAAAATTTAGACCACATAACTGTTGATAAATAAATATGAGTATATCAGATGTAAAGTACTAAGTGATGATACATGCTGTGAAGAAAACTAATGCAGGGTGAGGAATTGGGGAGTTCTGTAGGCGAGACAGAAATGACTGGGGGAAGGAAGTGGAAGGATTCTGAAGTGGGAATGATTGGCATGTTAAAGGAATTGCTAGAAGGCTAGGTACAGTAATTGGATCAAAATGAGCTAAGTAGAGTAGGAGGAGAGAAGACAGAGATAGACAAGAAGATAGTGTAAAGACTTAACTATGGAAAGGATATAAGCATGTAGGAAACAGAGGAGGAAGTTTGGATGGGCTCTGCCAATCAGGAGTTCTGTTTTCAATGTGGTATATTAAAATGCTCTTTAAACATCCAAGCAGAAGTGGAGAGTAATCAATAGGATAAACAAATCCAAGGCTCAGGAGAGAGATTGAGCCTAGCAATAAAAATTTAGAAGTCTTTGGAATACTTCTGGTGCTTAGAGCCATGGCGCTAATTGAAATTACAGTACCTAAAAAGTGAGCATACACAGAGAAGAGGACCAAAAACTGAGCACAAGACTATTTAGAGATGAGGAAGAGGAGGAGCAAGTGAGGAAAAAGGAAAACCAGGAGAATGATCTTAAATCCTAGTGTAAAAATATTAATATTAGTGTTTTTATCTTTCTATAGATATTGAGAAGCATTGTTGTACATTACTGTGACACATTTACTAAAATCTCTAACCTGAGTATGTAGTTTATATTATACAAGACTTAATTCAGGAGTTAGAAAGTGGTCCTTTTTAATTTTCAGTGCCTTCAGATTTATCACTTCTTATACTGGTAGGAAATATAACTCTCCTAAATAGAGCTATATTCTAACTCTTTAGGCCTTCTCTGAAAGAAGACGTGATAATTGATTTGTTTTTAAAATACTTCCTTTCCAGCTAAAAATAAGGAAAAGAATAAAATAAAATACTGTCTAGACAGTAGACAGAATTAAGACTATGTAGTTGCTAATAATAATAATTTGGAAATCAGATTTTTGTCCTCCATAAACTTAAATTGAAAATGTCAGTGGCCACTATGAGTTTTCTGTTTCTACTTTTCTTCTTTAATACCTCATATTTCAGACGGAAGCTTTAATAAAATGGGTATGTTCTCAACTGAATATAACTTATTTTTAATTTTTCTGTAATTCACAAAAGAAACATACTTCATTCTGTTTTTTTAATATTTTCTCTGGTGCTGGGGATTGGACTTCATGCATTGTAGACAAGTCCTCTCATTCTTTTTTTTTTTTGTATTCTTTTATTGGTACATTGTAGGTATACAACACAATTACATTTCTCATTGGGAATTGTACCTTTATATAACGCATCTTGGTTCTT